GGCAGAGGCAGCAGTCCCAGACAGCCCCATGGTGCCCAGGCAGAGCCCCGGGGCTTTAGGCCAGCTCCTGAGAATGACCACAATTGTCTGAAAAGCAGGAGGCTCCCTGGAAGACCCGGCACATTGCTGGCACCCGCTTGCCTCTCCCTCCTGGTCTGGTGCCTCCCTGCACAGGTAACATCTCAATTCACCCACCAAAGGCGTGAGAAGCGTGGACAGCTGGGATCCTGACCGGTGGAACAAGGGAGGCTGCTGAGAGGACAGGCGTTCCCTGCAGTGTCACACGTGGACAAAGGAGCCTGGACAGAGGGCATGGCCCCGCGTCCTTTCCCACGCATTTGGCCCAGGCTCAGAGCAAGCCAGATGCCAGAGCACCAGCCGGGTGGGCAGAGTGCATGGCCTGCTCCTTTGCCTTTCACTTCCTGCATGCCAGGCTCCTGGTGCTACAGCGCAGACCCTCCACATGTCCTGGGGCAGCACCCCCTCTGCCCTCTGTGCCCCTGGGGGACTCAGCCCCCGGGAGTGAACTGGGCTCCTGCAGATGCAGCAGCCTGGAGAACCCAGGGCGGAGGGGGTGTCTCCGTCTGTCCCTGACTTGTGTTCCTAGCCTCTTCCCTCTGTCCTGCGGTAGATGATCCATCCCCTCCCCCATTCCCATTCTGAACCCTGAGCCCCAGGAGATCAGAGTGTGACCATAATTGGAGACAGGGTCTTTAAAGCAGTGACTGGGTTGGATCAGGTCTTCAGGGGGTCCTACCCAGTCTGACTGGGCGACACAGACACACAGAGGGTGACCTTGCACCTTGCAAGGACACAGGGAGAAGGTGCCGCCTATGAGCCCAGACACCAAACCCGCCTGCTCCTTGGCCTTGGCCTTCCAGCCTCGGAATGGTGCGAAACACACTTCCATTTCCGTGCGGAAGTCACCAGGCTGCTGCTGTGTCCTCCGGCCCTCAGGAGGTAGCAGACCTGCTTCCTTGCCTGGAGCCGGCGGCAGCTGTCCGTCTGTTCCTCTTGGGTGCCTGGCATCCCCGCAGCTCCAGCCCCACGACCGATGCCCTCACTGCGTGGTGTGACCCAGCCTCACCTCTGTCTCAATGGGACCCCAACGCCACCTCTGCTGTTTCAGTGAGTCATCTGACGTTTTTAAATCCCCAAACTGGGATGTCTTACTTTACCCAGACAGCAGGAAAAATAGGGCAGCAGGGTCCTAGGAAAGGGGCAGGGAGACGGTGGTGTGGCGGGGCTCAGGACTTGCCCTGCCGGTGACCCGGTGACCGGCAGTACTGCGAACCCAGCCGTGACCCTCCCGTCTTCAGGGACACGGTGTGAGCACGCTGTGGGGAAGGGCCAGGCCGCCAGCCAGGGACCGTGGGACAGGGCGCCGGACAGCAGCCGGCCCCTGACTGACAGAGGAGCAAACACAGATGTGCGGCTCGTGCCCGAGGTCAGGAGCTCATGTCCCAGCAGGGTTTGGATGCAAATACGAGCTCCCGAGTCTTCTCTCGGTGCTTCCTATGGCGCCTGTGACTGGCTCCAGGTGTTCTCCTCGCCCGCGTTTTGGGTGACGGGGTGGACGCGGGGTGCCGTGGAGGAGGCCTCCTCCTGAGAGCGGCACTGGCCCCGTAACTGACAGCTGTGCCCTTTTAGGGGTCCGGATGTGAGAACCCTGCTCCACTCAGGCCGCGCACAGGCCAGCACCTCGCGGAGCCCCAGAGAGGGCGGAGCTTGCCAAGGCCGGAACAGTGCCCTGCGCCCCTTCCTCTGGGGCACGGCTCACGGCCTCCTGCTGCCGGTCCTTCCTGGGGGCCTGCGCTCCTGTCCATCATTAACGACGCTGAAATTCGAATTTCATGTAACTTTACTCTGCTGCAAATAGATGCTCTTAAAGATTTCTCTTCTCAGCTAAGACTGGAAAAACCTTTCTCAGCTCCAGGACAGACGGCAACGGGCAGGGGCGGAGTCGGGCTGTGTCCACCCCGCTGCGGGCAGTTAAAACAGTCATCAGGAAGATGGCAGTGGGGAGCGATTAACGAGATGAAACAGATGTGTCCTTGGTGGTTTTCCTGGCCGCTCCGAGTGGACCTGAGCTGTGGACAGCACAGCGTCGTTCTGGGGAAGGGGCTGGAAAAACCTTCGGAGATGCGTACCCGGGCCATCAACCCCTCCCAAGCACTGGCGGCCCAAGAAGAGACTGGAAAGCGGGCATAAGGCCCAGCGGCGCTGTCCTCCATGGGCTCCGCTCACTGGCGAAGTCAGTTAACCCATGTGGCTTCCACCAGCTCCCCCAAAATGGGGGTCACAGGTGCTGATCCACAGGAAGGCATGCGCCAAATCTGAGATTGGCCCTGTGAGCTGGAGACACCAGGTGCCTCTTCCCATCATAAATAAAACACCTGCACGGCAGCCAGGCGCTGAGTGGACGCCAGGAGATTTCCCATGGTGGAAAGACCTAGCTTTAGGGTCCCACCCTTCCTTCTTACCTCCCACTGCAACCTGAGCCGCACACAGGTCTGGTGTTGGGTCACAGCCCGTCAGCTCCCGGGGTGCCGAGGCAAGGACCTGCGCGAGTGACAGAGAAACCCCGGACCCCGCACGGGTCAGCAGAGGAGCAGAGACATCTTCAGGCGTGGCCACCCCTCTCCTGACCCCTGGGCTAGTTCAACCCGCTTAGCCTGGTGCGGAAGTGCCAGGGCCAGGGCCATGGCATCACCACCGCAGGAGGAGCTGACTTGTCTCATGTGGCCACGGGCCGAGACCATGAACCCCAACGGAAAGGGCTGAGGCTGGCTTCTAGTATGCAGCGGATGATCTGAAGACGCAGGGTCCTCCGCACACACAGGGTGCGCACCCAGCACAGAGAGCAAACACGCGTGCATGTAAGTGCAAGAGGTGAGAACCGCACACGTGTCCCTACACGCACACACACAAAACTCATTTCAAAATGCTTTACTTTAAAATACTGCCTCGGGCTGGGGATATAGCTCAGTGGCACAGCGCCAGGCAAAGCGCAAGGTCGTGAGTTCAATTCCCAGCATCAAAAAAAAAAAAGCCTCTATTTTTTAACTACCTGACACTTTTGGCAGTTTCTGCTCTACCAGCATTTAAAGTTTCTCAGCTTTGATACAGTGATGTTATTCCACAGAGTCTACTGTTTATCCGTACTTGCTGGAAAAACAAGAATAAGAAGGATGTTTATGTCTGGAATCACCTGTAACTGGGGACTTAGGATCAACTAAAATAACAGTTAATAGGAAATGAAATAATTATAGTACATCTATCAAATGGAAAAGTCATGCAATTCTTAAGAAAAGAAAATATACCTGTGTATACTAATTCAGAAGGATACCCAGTATATTTCATTTTACACAGAGCATAAAACAGTTCAGAAAAAGATGCAAGCACAGAGAGAAGTAGATGATTGTGTGAGTGGAAAGCAGAAAGTCAGGAATGAACTGCAAACTGCTGGCAGTGCTCAGGGAGACTGTGTGTGCGCATGTGTGTATGCGTGTGTGCGTGTGGGGATGGGATTCCACACATGAGGACACTGCTGTGCTGTGCGAATCAGTAGCCAGTAACCGGCTCCCCTGAAAGACACAAACCTTGACTTCGTATTGTTTGCCAGTCTCTGTGGGGTGAACACTCCCCCTGCAGTATCAAGCTACCCACACAACCCATGGAGCCCAGGGAAGCGGAGTGCAGCCTCACGCCCTCAGTACCCTGCCACGCAGACACACACGGCCGTGGAATCCACTGCAACAGCACAGGGAGCAGGGGTGTGGGAGGAATGAGCGCTGAGTATTTATAAAGTCTAATTGTGTTAGCACACCGACAGAAAACACTGCTCCCCACGGTGGCCACCCTGTCCCTTACACAAGGTGAGATATACTACTGCATGCTGCCACTTACACAGTGTGGAAACACTAGTTTTAAAATAATTCATCACCTTGCAATGCACACAATTTGCTTTTTATTTTTGGTACCGGGAATCAAACTCAGGACCTTGCGCTTTCCATGCAGACGTTTGTGCCGCTGAGCTGTATCCCTGGCCCCATTTGTTTTTTAATAGTGACTGTGCTTAACAACTGGATCCCATATTTCCTGGAAATTTATTGGGCTTAACTTAATAGGATTTCACTTGCAGGTGGAAGGGGTGGAGCCAGAGCCCTGGAACATCTTAAGTCTGAAAATCTCTGGAAAGATGCTGTCCTTTTCACTAATGTAGAGTCGGGATCTGGCAGCTCCACTGACACCAAGCAGTCTGCAGGGGAGGTTGGAAGCCGCTAGAGTCCTCTTTCTGAAGGGCCTGCTGCGCGCCACATTCTGAGAGAGGCTACCGTTCAGCTGACGCCTTCCTGTGCCGCACACGGAGTTTAAACGCATGTATTTTGCACACTCAATGTGCAATGGCCCTGCTTGTCCCCAACACACTGCCACAGGCCTTGTGCCCCGGGCTGTGTGAGACGGCTCCCAGCCTTGTGCACACGGGGCGGAGCGAGCGTGCTGACAGCCCGCTGGAGTCTCTGCTGTCACAGGGCAGGGCCACTGTAAGGAAGGGCGCCCACGGGAAGCTCTCCGCAGGATGGGAAGGAGACTCAGGCCTGCGGCTTCGGGCCACTGGGAAGGGTGGCCGTGCCCACGCTTCAGCCTGCGGGAGGGCGATGGGCACCAGCCATCTTCTCAGGGCTGTGGTGTAATCAGCAGCTCCCCCAGCCCTGATGGAGGCTCTCACCTGGCTGCCCTCTGAGGAGGGGCTTCCTCACGCTCCTCTGCTCGCCACTCTAAGCACCTGGGTGGCTCCTGGACTTTGTTAGAAAATGCTGGTGCAGGGGCATGGCTGCAGCCTGGTGTTCAGCTCTGAATCCCCGTCCTGTGAGGCTCACGGCTCAGGAAATTTCTTCTGGGAATGGGCAAACTCTGCCCTTCTGGGTTATAATATTTTTGAAGGAAGGCTCCTGGTATCTGTCCTCTAAAATAAAATCTTTTCCTACCTTAACCTCACCAGAATAATAGCTATTTAGCAACAAGTACTAAATAATGAGCTACATTACGAATGAATGCATGCATGCATGAATGAATGAACTACGTTTAAACCTAGTCTGTCTGGATGCAGTTGCTACAGACAGAATCATCGTGATATTCTTTCAGAGCATGAGGAGCTCTCCATTCTTTTTTTTTTTTTTTTTAAGGTCTCACTGTGTAATTCAGGCTGGTCTTGAACTTACTATGTAGCCCAGGCTGGACCTGAACTCACAGCGATCCTCCTGTCTCAGCCTCTAGAGAGCTGGGATTACAGGTGTGCACCACCACGTCTGTCTGGACAGAGGCAGCAGTGGGACCGGGGCGCTCCCGCACCTCTGCAGATCCCTCCAGAGCTCCCGGCTGCAGCTCTCAGGCAAGTTGTCCACAGGTTTCTCCTGAATCCCTGCCATGGAATTCACCGTCCTGTGCGACACTACCCCATCGCTCTGCACGTCTGCGGGTCAGAGCCTGTCCCCCACAGAGTGTGCCAGTCCCCGATGGCCTGATCTTGCAGTTCTGTGGGTGAGGCTTCCCGCAGAGACTCCCTGCTCCTGAGGGCCAGATCTCCATCTGCCCATCTTGGCCTAATGTGGGGCCCAAGAGGAGCAGGACACGTTCTATGTTCTAAGTTGTTTTTAAAGCACCTCCTCCAAGGAATATGATGCTGCCCTCGCAGAAGGAATAGCTTTTCCTTGGGTGACCATGGGGTGTGAACTTGAACTCCCGCCTCCCCCCCAGCCTGCCACCCTCACTCACCCCATCTTTCCTGCTTTGAGCCCTCCTCCCTTCCTCTCCTTCCCTGGCCTCTGTTTTTCCCGATATTCGCCCATCAATCAGCTCTGGGCTGCAGTGGGTTGAATAGCCTGTCAATGAGCCTTAATGAGCCTGTCAGCATCCCCCATTGTTCTAAGTCCGGCTGACAGCGGAGGCCGGGGGAGTGACAGCTTCCAGCACCGGGAGGTGAGGTGTGGACACTGTGTCCGGAGTGGACGTCCTGTGTAGGCACAAGGAGGTGCCTCAAGGCCACCGAAGCTGCCCATAGCTTCTGCCAGCTGCAGCTCTGCTAAGGTGAAAGGCGGATGGAGCAGCTCGGGAGGGAGGGAGGGAGGCAGGCAAGGACAGCTCTCTGGGACTCACTCTGGGGACCCCTGGCTCTGTGAAAGCACACTGGGAAAGAAAAACAAAAGAGAAAACACGGGAGCCTCACTGGATCGTTTAAGGGCAAAGGCCACTCCACAAGTCAATGCCCGGAAGAACATCAGTGGCGAGAGGCTCGTGCTTAGCAGGTGCTTTTGACAAATGTGTTGGATCTGCTCTCCCTGCAGACCACCGTGAGCAGGACGGGAAACGAAAGCTACCGCCGGGCTCCTGAAGGGCTCTGGTTGTGGGGACCTGCTGCCACACCCCACAGTCAGCTTCCAGCAGGAAGCGGGGTAAGAGCAGAGTCGGGGCTCCGAGGTAGACAGCACCCCCAGCTCAAGAAGCTCATGCTTCCCCGGGATGCTCAAGGTGAGACACAGCTGGGAAGCTCACCATGAACTACAACAGGTGGTTTTTCCTAAAATAATACAAAAAGGTAACATTTTTCTGGTAGTGGAAGAGATGGCCTGCTTCATGGGTTTGCGAGGGTCACTGGAGGTTGATCTTGCCCAGCACAGGGCATGGTGCCCGGTGACACCCGCTGGATGTGGGCACCACCCCATGACTGCAGGGCTGCCTGCTTCCCTCCCTGTCAACAGGACCTGAGACCTGCCCTGCTCACCCCTGCCTCACCCGGGCTCTCTGCGGCCCCCAGGCTCCAGGCCAAGGGGAGTCTGCAGTCTCCACGAGGATGGGACCCCTACCTCTGTCAGTGGGAGCACTGTTCCCTCCCAGGGTGGTATCACACAGGCTCCCTGCTGCCATGGCCAGCTGTGCAGGACACGGTGCTGGGCTTCCTTCCCTTGACCTCATCTGACCCTCTGCGAACGCTCCTGCCCAGCAGCGTGGCTGTGGCCTCCTTCCTGTGCCTTGGGATGCGGTGCTTGCACCTGACCTCTCTGGGCACTGACCGCCAGCTCCCAGCATTGGCTCCTCTGGGTTCTTCCCACCAGGCCCCAGGATTGGCTTTCACAGCCTCTTAGTGGTGCTGTCCTGGGCGCTGGCCCCAGCCCAGGCCCTGCCCTTTCTTGGCCTCTCCATTTCTCCCAGGCCCCAGGTTCAAATCCTAAGGCCCTGGTCTGCTTCCCTGGAGAACAGAGCTCCCCCAAAGCGGTAATGAGGCTGCAAGGGGAGGCGAGAGGATCCAGAGGCCTCGGAAGACAGAGGGGCAGGAGCGCAGCCTGCAGAGGGCAGAGTCGCATGTTCAGTGGCCGCTCAAGGTGAGGTGCGGCCACGAGACAGCCCACGAGACAGCCTTTGCACAGAGCGGTTGAAACAGAGACGGAAATGAAAGAGCAGGGGTCACAGCAAGGCGCAAAGAGTATCTGGCTTCAGACACGGGGTGTCTGCGGGCCCCGGTGTCAGAAGGGTCAACTTCCCAATGTGTCTGTCCGTTCTCCCACCACCCTGTTTGAGGGCGGAAGTCACACGGTCACATGACTTGCGTTAGCCAATGAAGAAGGGGCAGGGAATTTAAGAGCCTTGTGAACCCCGCTGTGTGGCCAGCTGCTCCGGACTTACATGCGAGAGTAGCCTTGACCCCGACAGACCCGGCGCACACAGGAGCGGGGCTAAGGAGAGTCACTGCTGCTACATGAGACGGCAGAAGTGCTGTGGCCGTTTTGCTGGTTGTGTAACCCATGTCAACAGTCAAGGATGCCACAGGCCAAATGGACTAGAGCTCCAGCTGCCAGGCTAGAAAAGGGCCGGAAGCCGCCACCGCCTCCTCCCCTGGGAAGGGGATTGTGGCCCTGTCACCATGCGAGCCCTCCTGCCCCCCAGCACCCCTGGATTTACCTGTGTTGTAGCCCCTTCCCAGCGCCGGCCACGGGCGGTGATTCTTCCACAGGTTCCCGAGGTACCAGTCACTCTGATTCTCCACCAGGCCCAGGACCTGCTGCCCTGTGAAGTGCAGAGAATGCAGTCTTAGAAGAGGCAGCCATGGTAACCGGATCAATACAGGCAACAGCACCCAGGTCTCCATACTAAGTGCCCGGTTCAGACCCCTGTGTAACCTGCGGAAAGCCTGGAATGACCTAACTCATTCCTC